AAAAAAAAAAAAAAAAAAAAAAAGAACACTTAATGAGAGAAGCCTGTACTACAAGGGACCCACTCTCCAAAAGGCAATTCCCCCCTTTTTTGGGTCCCCCCTCATACAGTTGTCTTTAGAAAATAAGAATAAGAATGGGGAGCATTCCGTCTTTTTTTTTTTTTTGAGTTGGAGTCTCACTCTGTTGCCGAGACTGGAGTGCAGTGGCCACTCCCGGCCACCGCAGGCTCGACCTGCAGGGCTCCAGTGATCCTTCCGCCTCAGCCTTCCGAGTAGCTGGAATTACAGTCACACGCTACCAAGTCCGGCTAATTTTTGATTTATTGTAGAGATGAGGTCTAGCCAAGTTGCCTAGGCAGGTCTCGAACCCACGGGCTCAGGCAATCCACTCACCTCAGCCTCCCAAAAGCACGGGATTACAGGCTGAGCCACCAAGCCCTGCTGCATACCGTCTTTCTTGATTGCTTGGAAAAAAATAAAATAAAATAAAAAGAGATGGTAAACACTTCCAGAAAAGGAGACATGAGTAAAAGAGTTATGAGCATTTGCCAACTATTTAAGTCTTTTCTTTCTTGCCCTCAGATCTCCTCACTGGTTAAGGGAGAGAGGAGGAAAACCCTTGCCTAGCTGTCACTTGATAAATGTGTTCAACAGCCAGGCTGTGCTGGGGAACCCAAAAGGGACGGAAATAAGGAGTTGAAGGTCAAGTCAGGGGTTGTTGATCTGATAAAGGACTCTGGCCTCACACAACCCTCTCCCCACAGACAACATCCAGGCTATCTACGTGGCTTTGGGGGAGGCCATGGAGCTGCCATGTCCCTCACCACCCACTCTACATGGGGACGAACTCCTGTCTTGGTTCCGCAGCCCTGCATCGGCTTCCTTCACCAACCTGGTGGCCCAAGTTCAGGTGGCCAGTGCAGCCCCAGACCCTGGGAAACCTGGAAGGGAATCTAGGCTTAAACTGCTGGGGAACTATTCTTTGTGGCTGGAGGGGTCCAAGGAGGGAGACGCCGGGCGGTACTGGTGTGCTGTGCTGGGTCAGCACCAAAACTACCAGAACTGGAGAGTATATGACGTCTCTGTGCTCAAAGGTGAGTGGGAAGGGGGAGGAGGCAGAGGTGGAGGGATGAAAAATCACCTATCAGGTACAGTGTGCACAGATGGGGGTGGTGAGTACACTTAAAGCCCAGACTTCTTCACCACTATATAATGCAATCATGTAACCCAAAACTATTTGGGAAAAAAGACCAAAAAAAAAGGTTAGCAGGGCTTGCAGACAAGGAGTCACTGGGGGCCAAAAGTCTAGGCAAAGAACTGAAGGGTCTCTTCCTCCCCATAGGATCTCAGTTATCTGCAAGGGCTGCAGATGGATCTTCCTGCTCTGTCCTTCTATGCTCTGTGGTCCCTACCAGACGCCTGGACTCTGTGACCTGGCTGGAGGGGAGGAGTCCTGTGAGAGGCCGTGTTCAGTCCTTCTGGGGCGATGGAGCTGCTCTGCTCTTGGTGTGTCCTGGGGAAGGTCTTCCTGAGCCCAGAGGCCGTAGACCAAGAATCATCCGCTGCCTCATGCCTCACAGCAAAGGGGTCAGCTTTAGCCTGGCAGGTAAACTGAGGGAGAAGATGAGAAGGGATGCTGCATCTGGCACATCTTTCAATTGCTAGCTAGGGGAGGAGGTGAAATAGGAGACAAACCTGAGCAGGTTGGGGTGGCTTCTGGTGGAGCAGGCCATTGCCTATAGGAGGACTTTTTTAAAAGACTGAATTCATAGTAGAGAAGGGGGGTTGGTTAAGCTTTAGTTTCTGGTGGAATAGACCAGCAGCCAAAAGTTATATTCTTGTGGAATATATCACAAGAATTTAGAAATAGGGTAATCTATGATTTTTGTGGAATCTCCCATAGCAAGAAAAAGAAAATAAGAATTATTGCTGGGGGAGTTGTCTTTTGAAGAAAGGATATATGCACTGGTGCTATAATGGCCCATTGATTGTGAGGCAGAAGGAGAAAAAAATAATTGTTTACAATAAAAAGGTTATTATGAAAAGAAATAATGCTATTGGATGTGGAATAACTCACTTACAAGGCAGGAGCAGAGAGCAAATGGCCATTAGTTCACTAAGGAAAGGCAAATTAATAGACAATGACTGGACCTTATTTTCCTTCACAACCTTACCACCTAATATGGTGCCTAGCATGTGTTTATAGAGTGAATAAATGGCAGAATGAATAAAAGGAAGGCACTTTATTCTTTCTTGAAAGGGTAAATTACTATGAAGGGTATGAGGGAAAGGTGCAGTTATAGCTGGTGATCTTTTCTGTAGTTGGCTGCCTATGTGTGGGCAGGGGCATTGCCACTCTCTATCCGTGTTGGCTCATGGGGTCAGGTGAGAAGCCTGCAAAGGGACAAACTGTCAGGGTGGATATTGGGGGCAGGGAAGCTCATGAAGTCTTCTTTTGAAAGGGGCCACCAGACTATGGCGGGATGCCTCTCTTTGAAGCACAGGTCCCCTCACTGCCTCTCTTCCTATCCTTCTGGTCTTGCCCTTACTACAGCCTCCACAGGTGCCTCTCCCACCCTCTGTGCTCCTTCCATGGGCTGGGGTGTGCCCTGGATCCTGATGCTGTTGCTCACAGTGGGCCAGGGACTCACCATCCTGGCTCTCAGCATCATGCTCTGGAGGCGGAGGGTTCAGGGGACTCCAAGCAGAGGTGAGTCCTCCTTCCCAGAGGGAAGAAGAGGGCATGTGGGTGTGAGTCAATGGGTTGTTCTCACATCCTGCCTCTGTACCCCATCTTCCCTAGAGGAGGGGTGGTAAGAAACACAACTCTGAGTTGTCTGGTGACTTCTCTTCTGTATCCCATATGGCTCCTTCTTCCCAGATGTCTCGATTCCTCAATTCAAACCTGAAATCCAGGTCTATGAGAACATCCATTTGGCTCGTCTCGGGTGAGGAACAACTCGGGGACAGAGGCTTAAATCTCAGATGAAACTTGGGATGGGAGAGGAGATACTGGGGTTAGGTTGGGGGTGGTGTCCTCATTCCCAAGGAAGTGGAAAATAGAAGTGTTCTTATTGTCTCTCTGCTTTGAAAACCCCACAGCCCACCTGCCCACAAGACCAGGTGATCTTGTTGACATCCCCTGCTGGAAAGTATGACCTGCTATGTCTCTGCCATCTAGCACCTGAAGGATTCCCTGAAAACCTTGGCAATGGGCAAGGGCTGAGAGTGCAACTTCACAGACCAGACCAGCAGCCATCAAGCTGTATATGGGGTGGGGGTGGGGGACTAAAGGAAAGGAGGAACATTACTGTGTGATGTCACCTACGAAAGAGTGTGGTCTCCTGTCTTATAGCAGGCAGTGGAGGGGTGGTGGCGCTGAGTCCAGAGCACTGTGTGGGATTAAGGGAAGCCTGAGGTGGCTGGTGGGGGTGAGGAGGGATGGGAGCGGGCAGGGAAGAGACAAGAATCTAGAGACTTGAGCAATGGTAGGGAGTCAGTCATAGGAGAACCTAAGGATAAACAGGGAAAACTGAGGAAGAGACTCAAGTCAAAGTAAGAGGAAAAAGATGGACAGAGAGATAGAGAAAAATAGAGAAGCACAAAGCGGGAGGACTAAGTGACAGAGAAAACGGAAAGAAGATTCAACTTGCTCCCAAATAAGGGCAGACTAGCGCTACTCAGGGTCACATCCTCACAAAGAAGAGAAGTTGAGAGGGAACAAGCACCTTTAATCAGCTCCAGACTTCCTCAGATGGGAGGGGATGGAACTGAGTCAGGATGGGGATGCCTGTGCTGGACTCCTCGGAGCACTCTCCTTATCCTAGGCACACACACTTCCCTGTGGCATTCCACTGTGGCATTCGGAGCATGTGAGTAGCTTAGAGTCATGCTGGCGCCTGCTCCCTGCCACCCCAGAGGTCATGTCCTGTCTCCCTGAACAGGGGCTGGCAGGTGGGGTTACCCTATGAGGTATGTTATTGGGCCAGGTCCATGCTGGGCATGTCTGGGCTGGTGAAGCAGGGGAGGGCATTGATGCTCCCAACTTGGCCACCCCCCACACACCCCACCCTGGTCTCAGGCAGAAATGACTGAACTCCCAGCCACACCCTCACAAGCAGCTACACCAGGTGCCCTTTGGTGTATTTGCTCAAGCTTGGGCCTCACTGGAGAAAAGCTTTCTCAGTAGTCTCACCAAAAGCCTTCACGCTGCAACAAGAAGGAGGACGCGAATGACACAGATGGAAAATGAGGGGAATGCTATGGTTCAGGTTCCAGCCACACCCAACCCACCAAGCAGCTACCGTTTGCTCTTAGAGCTTGCACGCACACACACTGCAGCATTACTGAACTCCCAAATAGCCCTTTTATTAAATGTACTCTTAATAGCTCCCCAAGCCCTCCTTCCTGAATTCCCGACCTACCACATCAATCTTTCTTAGCAAGACTCTCCTCCTCACCCTACCTGGTACCCCTTCAATCCCCTTGCCTGAGACCCACAATGTCATCAAAAAACCTGCCTTCCAAGCTGGGCTCGGTGGCTCAGTCTGTAATCCCGCGCCTTTGGGAGGCTGAGGTGAG